GGAAATATTCCTGCTCTATGGGGAGACAATACTGCCGCATTATTAGTGGAGGACGACTTTGGTAAGGCTTAAGTGTTCTCGAACTACTTTAGCAATGTATATACCATAGAAGCGCCCTTCCCGTCAGCGCATATAGATCCCCCCATACATACGCTGGATAGCGTGACCATTAACGAACTCGATGTCTTTGGTCTGCTAAATAAGCTTGACATAGGTAAATCCACGGGGCCCGATGAATTACAACCCAGGCTACTGAAGGAATTATCTAACTTCCTTCCAAGCCCTTTAAGTATATGCTTTAGTGTGTCCATAACGCAGGTTCGTCTAGCAAAAGATTGGAAGAACGCCATAGTAAGCCCTGACTTCAAAACAGGTACGAAACACAAACCTGAGAATTACCGCCCCGTTAGCCTAACTAGTGTGGTTGTTAAAATCTTAGAAAAGGTTATTCGGAAGGAGCTGTTTAAGTATCTTGATAAAAACCGGATCCTTTCGGAGAAGCAGCACGGTTTCAGAATAGGTTACTCTTGTCCCAGGGTACAGTTTTGCGGGCCAGTGCTATTCCTCTTGTATGTAAATGACCTTCCTCGTCTCCGATCATCATCGGTCTTGCTGTATGCTGACGATGTCAAGATATGGAGAACGATGCGATGTGAGGGTGATAGCTTAGAACTTCAAAATGAACCGAAGAAATTATCTGGATGGTCTCAAACCTGGCAGTTGCCGATAAATACTTCCAATTGTGTTGTGATGCATATCGGTCATCAAGGTACAGATACATAGACGATGGATAACACTGAGCTACCTGCCGTCCAGACACATGATGACTTAGGAGTCATCGTTAGCCAAGACTTAAAGACTACTGCACACTGCCGTGCAATAGCGCCGAAAGTTTTAGAACCTTATGGTCAATACGTAGGGCTTTAAGTCATCTGGTTGGTGGTGGTCATGTCGACACGAAAACGTTTTTGTATACAGTGCTCATACGTCCTAAACTGGAGTGCTGCACACGAGCAGCTAGCTCCTGCTTAGAAGAAGACAGTGAGCTTCTAGAAAGGTTCAGAGAACAGCAACTAAGCTGATTCCTGGAATAGCGAAGCTTCCGTATGATGCTCGACCAGCCAAGCTAAACCTTTTCCCGTTGTCATATCGCAGAACTAGAGGCGACTTGATCACAGTCTTCAAATTGCTTAGTGCCAAATTCGCACCTGATATGCCCTCATTTTACTTGTCCTTCAAAACAGAGAATTTACGAGGACACTGCAAAACAGTTCAGAAGCCGAGAACAAATTACTTGTCAGCTGACTATCGATTTTCCCATAGAATCATCAACGAGTGGAATTCATTAACCTAGCACGTGGTTGAGGCTCCATCCGTCAACTCTTCCAAAAGACAGTTGGATCAACTGAGAGACCACCATTGCCAGGACTAACACAGGTCATCAAGCCTCCTGCCTTTTCAAAACTGAAACTGATATATTGTTGTCAGAAGAATGGTCAACCTTGTGATTTCTGAGGAGTCTCATCTTACATGGTGAAGTGTCATGAATGAAGATCTTTCAACTCACAGGACATATTTTAAATGGTTTAAAATGTTTTCCCCGATAAAGCTTTATCAGCAATGTTTTTTCAACGGGATAGGGTTGCTTACTTCCTGCACAACCATCTTCGATTACCCGGGGTTGGGATAGACAGTAGCCTTCGGAGGGCTGTTGGCGAAGTTTCAGATATTCAGCATGGTTTATGATTTGTCCAATCTGGTGTTTAATACTGAAATGTCAAATCTGCATAATTGCGTATTTATTTTGAAAAACGATATCTGACAGAGTAAATGACGGTTTACATGTAACGGTTATATTATGCTCTATTATGTAAACAATTCGAATAGCTTTCATTTACATGCCACCTATATCACCTTGTATAGATGTGCCTTTCTATCCCTTCATTTCATTATACTTCTTAATAAATATTTGAGACACGATGACTAGATAACATTCTGGACAGTTTAAATTCATGACAATGCAATTGACACTAGGCCGGCCTAATGCGGTACTGGATTTTTATTTACTATAAGGCAGTTGCTAGACTTTCTATTCTCAGTTTCATTCCTATTCTAATACACTTGCTGGTAAGTTTTGGTGCCACTATCGATAGAAATCCAAAAAATCTGATCGTTAGATTATTCCGGTTCTATTGCTATTTCAGTTCAGTTTGGTTCATTCAGTTCTATAATCGTCTGGTTATTTATTACTATTCTGTATGCTAGAACTTTCAATCACTTAAATATATATTTAGGGACATTCGTACCATGGTTTTCATTCAATTCATTTGTTCTTGGTCATCGAGTATAAACACAAAGAATATAACAATACTTCGATACGTATATACCTGCGCGCTCATACTCGTCGCCTCATTAAGTTTTTAGGATGGCTTTGTTAGGAAATAAAGACCAGTTATTGTTTTACTGATACTTGCCTAGTTATTTATATTTCCTCTCCTATTCAGAATTTTATTTTGTTTAATTATATTCTGTTTGTGAAATATAAATTACTTACTCTATACTCATACATTCTTGTAACCATTTATATAATGTTCAAGGATGGTTTGCCCTGAATTGTGTGCTACACGTATAAAACTTTACTCACATTCTTTCCACAGTTGTATGACCACTTATGAATACTTACTGCAGTCGACGTACCATCCATCTACACATTTCACGACGATTCAAAATAGTTGATTATTTGGTATTGTTGTCAAGCTACAATACATCTCAATTATAATATTTGTTCTGTATCAATTACATATCGGAGTTCTACAGGTCCCAATTTGCACGTTAGTCAGTCGCGATTTTTTATGTCCAGGGTCAACAGTTACTCGATTAGCTCCAAACAATATTATTTGGCCATTTGGTTCGTTTACAGGTGATAGTATACTGAGAAAAAACTACCGTTAGCATTTATAGCGACTTCTATCTTGTGCTATCTGGTTCAAAGTATCATAACAATGATACTAATGTACAACTGAACTCTAGCTTGTTTCTAGCGATCATAAGTCTCCAGTTAGATCAACTTCAGAAACAATCCAGATGAAGTCGACACGTATAAATAAAACTGTTCTGAATCAGATTTAGTGTTCTGGTTTGAATTCGAAGCTTGTCTATATTGTATTAATATTTATTCAAATACTTTATTGCCACTAACGTTTAACAAGCAAACTTCGATACTAAAGTAGTTTGGTATTAGGTAAGCTCGCTATAGTATTACCATATTACCTAGTGTAACTAGTAGAGTTATTTGAAGTTAAAACTATATGTGATAGAGAGTAATACAGGAAAGGAGTTGTATTGATTCGTTCATCCAGATTGTTTATTTAATAACATCAGCCTTCCGCTAACCAAGATGAATACTTTACAATTATTGGTACAGAGAATAGATCTCCAGCGATTTCTAGCAAGAATAAAGTATAAAATAATCAGTAGGAAAATTTTGATAATACACTTTACAATTTCTGTATCATTCATACAACAAAATCAAGAAACTACGATATAGGTATACAATCCAGGAACAGATCCGTAATAAAAACAGATATGATAAACAACACAGTAAAACTGTAAGCAGGCGAATATATACACACACACACAAAGAAAACAGAACTTCAAAAATCTAATGATAATGATCACACATAGGACAACTAAAAGCAAAAAAAAATTAAAAGGAACCGAGATAAACAGTTGATTTATTGACTTATTCATTAACAGAATACAAAATCATTCACTTATGGAATATACATCAGGTTACATCTTCATCAATAAGAAAAGAAAAAAGAAATATTTTATGTGATTATACATACGTTGATCATAAATAAAGAGGAACAAGAGCAAAAATGAATCTGGAATAGATTGAAAATAAAGAGAATAGAAATATAACAACGGTAGGAATTTGCATATACATTTGAATGAAAAGAAAAGTTATACTCTTCTTTTAATAGACTAATATTATTACTTAAAAGATCTCCATCATATTAAAAGATTCATATTTGAATAAAGAATATTGTTTTCGATAAATTCTCTTCAGGTTCTCTACAACTCATATATATATTCAAATGAATAATCCGGTTAAAGGCAAAGTATAAAGTATAGCCTTCTATTAAGCATTTGATCGAATTGTAATTTCATTATCATTTCTCTCAGACCTATTTGATTCAATATTTATTGTGATCATGGATCTTCAAATTTTCACTTCATAAATATATGCAGATTCAAGTTAACATTTTATCTGAGTCAATATCAACATTAACAATTTTATTGTATTTTGCTTATCACAATCATAAATTCACATAATTTAAAGGACGTACTTTCACTCCTTAACCTGACTACCTTTTTTTCCGGATTATTCATTTGGATATATGAATTATAGGAACCTGAAAATAATTTATTTTTAACACATAGATATTGGTACAACGAGGCACCAAATACATATGCATTACACAAATCTCATTCGATATGTGTGAGAGCTGTGATACTGCCCGGGTGCCCAAACCGAACCAGGTGGTTTTCTTAGGAGGCCACACCTGGGGCCTTCGACCTGAAGGTCTGATCTACAAGGCAGTGGAGCAACGTAAGGAGGTGCAGTCCCATGGGAGCCGGTGACCAACGATTGGTTCATACGCCATTTGTTCCCTCAGGATTCTGCAGCCAACGTGCACCGTTAATTTGGTTTGGAATCCGGTTGAAGCTCCGGACATTCGCTTTACGTCCTCTCATTTTCGTAAACAACACCACCACCACCACGAGAAGGCAGTGAGTAGGACTTCCCTGGCAGAGGCTATATACGCGTGGTCATGTGAGAGCATTTCGAGAGGGAGAACGGACTCTTCTCTTTCTCGGCTGTACCAGAGCATTTGAATATTCTTCGTTTAATATATTAATCCCTATTTCTACTAAATAATTTGTTTCATTTTTCAAATACCCGGAATAAAATTGATTTTTGAACAAATGAAATTAGCGGTTATTTTAAATATAAATTATTAAATAGATATCTTTTTTTCTTTTTAAATAGATTTGTCAAGTACCAAAAGAAACATTATAAATTATATAGTTATAACTGTAAACACATTTCATCTAATCAAATGTACTATATATTGTAAACTATAAGTCAAGTCATTGAATAATATTCTGAAAGTAAACAATCAGATTTATACAGATCCAATAAACAAATAATATGTGAATTGTATACACAAAATGTTACTCATGTATAATTCTCATTTCAAAGGTATTCATTAAGATCTATATAATCGAAAATATTGGAAAAAATAAAAATAAAAGATACACCAAAAAGAATGAATAAATGCAACGGCAAAAACAAAAAACAACAATAAAATAAAGAAAGAAAATAACAACACAAATATGAAGCTGTATCCAAATTGAAAACAAAAAAAAAGAAGAAAAAAACGATATGTAAAACCATGAAATAAAATGGCAGTTAACAAGAAATTGAATTAAATGCAGATTTATAAATGAATAAAAGAATTAAATTCTATTTTCTATAATTCATTTTAGTATTATTATTTACTCCGCCTGGAGTCCCTCCGGGGGCTACTACCAGTCCCATGCTCAGATAAAAGAGGAGAGTTGGGCATGAGGGTTAGCGGCCGCATCCCGTAGAAAACTAACTCGCTAAAAAAAAAACGCTAACCAGAAAAAAAATTCATTATTATTATTATTTATCTTAATTTAAAATTGCATAATGATGGTCCAAGTAATTGTTTCCAATCAAAATCAATATTTCTTGTATATGAACATGAATTTGGTATTGGTGGATTAATTAAATTCCATCGACGATTTTCTTGTGCTAATAATAAACCACAATATGGTACAATTGATGTACGATGATGAAATTCATCTGATGATAAATTATTTCTAAATTTATGACATACTAAATGACGTGTACAAGTATCTAATGATGATGCATGGGCTACAATTAATAAACAAGTATCTAAAAAGAAAAAAAAAAGAATCAAAATTAAAAGTAGAATAGAATATTATGAGTTGTATGGGGATGAGACATGAATATTCATGATGAATAAGCTTTTGTACTCAGTCGTGTTATTACTTTACAATTGAATATTTGGCGAGACTAGCATTTATGGACGAATCAATCAGATATACAATAAAAAGTCAAGAAGTTAGGCGCGGAATTCATACATACATTTGACTAAATAGAGTTTTAGCATTATAGCTGATGTCAGTTCGTGATGAAAACCCTAAATCTAACTTTTAACCTTAACCAACAACTGTAAATGAGAATTCTAACTGCTTGACAACCCTCAGCGTCACCTAAAGGTCGTCCATAAATTATAGTCTCATCGAATATTTAATAACTTGATGTAAAAACTACTGAAACGAACGCTTAAAAAAGAGGGTTGATTAATAAACCATGTTTAAAGTTTAGTCCAAGAATTAATTATAATGACAAGGCAGTTCTACTGTATGGGGCGGAAACTTAGAGAACTACGAAAGCCATCATCCACAAGATACAGGTGTTTATTGATAGTTGTCTACGCAAAATACTTCGCATCCGTTTGCAACACATTACAGTATCGGTAACAACCTACTATAGGAGAACAAACCAGATCTCAGCGGAGGAAGAAATTAGGAAGATGCGCTGGAAATGGATAGGACACACATTAAGGAAAGCACCCAACTGCGTCACAAGGCAAGCCTTCACATGGAGGAGAGAAAGACCAAAGAACACATTACACCGAAAAATGGAGACAGATATGAGAAGCATGAACAACAATTGGATAGAACTAGAAAAGAAGGCCCAGGACAGAGTGGGTTAGAGAATGCTGGTCAGCGGCCTATGCTCCATTGGGAGTAATAGGCGTACGTAAGTATTTTCTTATTCAATATATTTCTGAAAGAAAAAAGAAGTGTAAACTCATAGCTTAATCAAATTGTCATAATAAATTTTCACTATTCTGAGAACGAACACAGTAATTTGTGTTATTTTTCTAATGAAGTTAATGAGAATGTAAAATTATTGCTACATGGAAAGCTCAAAATATGGAACTATAACTTAGTGGACAAATCATGTTCCTTGAGAAATATATAGGTCCTGAGTTAATGTCAGTCAGTTACACCGTAGGATCAGGCAAATATATGCATCGACCAAAGTTGACACACCTCATTAGCACGACAACATGAACACCAAATCTATAGAAGTAGTCACTTCAATGGTAGTAATATATAAAACAAAGATTGTGTACAAAGATATGATACAGGAACAAAGAACTAGTTGGTAGAAATAAAGGTACACAGTAATTATAATCTCACGGTTTAAGGAAATACAAAGAGCGTATACACCTACGCCATTGTCATCGATCTTGAGCTATTTCACACAGAGTCTACAACCATTGGTTACGATAGTCATGCGGACTGCAGCCAAGTAATCTGCATTTACTAACATGGCTCAGATCAGAAGTTAGTGACTTCGATGACTGACGCTACGTTTTGGCTTGATCACCCTTTAACTTTCTTCCAAACCGTCTCCAACACTAGTTAAATCTCATTAGCGGTTATATACGTTCATTGATGTAGAGTCCTGAGACAGGACGAACTAACTGACCAACGCTATTTTGATCTCCAGTAGTTTTTATTTTTCTGGATTATTTCATAGTAGACCAAATACTATCGAAAAAATGAAGACATGTAACTGGTTCGAATGACAAACATTTTCAATCTAGTTTTACAATAATTGTATATAGTATCAGTAATAATTCGAATGTCACTACTTATTCTGAAATAAATACGCGAAAGAATTACCGTCAAATGTTCTGAATAAATTAACAGGATATAAAGAAAATGAATCTCGCGGGGGGCGAGGTTGTGGATGCGCACTGTTGAGGAGTCCCACAATAGGACGAAACGGCCGTCCAGTGCTTCCAGGTTTTCCATGGTGGTCTAGCTTCAACTGACTCATGATCTTAACCATTGAAATTACTACAATCTCCACAAAAACGCATCTGATACAATGATGGATGTTTATTGCGAAATCGAAATGCTTTGAATACAACCTAGCCCCGTTACTAGATTACTACGAAAATAAAGTTATGTTCAATATACCTAATATTAATTCACAAGTTGAAATCATGAGTCAATTGAAGCTAGACCACCATGGAAAACCTGGAAGCACTGGACGGCCGTTTCGTCCTGCTACGGGACTCCTCAACAGTGCGCATCCACGACCCCGATGGATTCGAACCTAGGACCTACTGGTTTCGCGCGCGAGCACTTAACCATTAGACCACTGAGCCGGTATCTAACGGTGTTAATGTCTAACTTTTCTTTAAGCCATACTATCAAGTATTCATTCAAGTTTACCATAATCGACTGATTGAATTCACATGTTCTTACCACTAGAGTTGAAATATTATAATAATATAAATCTAACAATATTTAATCCTTTTAGTACATATACCTTGGAAACGAACAGATACCAAATACCAAACATACATTAGGTATGTGATATATGGAAGGTAATTCAACCTAGTTCATATATATATATATATATATATATATATATATATATATATATATATATATATATATATATATACATAAAAATTATTAAAAACAAAAAACATACCTTTCGACTTATGAACATTTAAAATACGCTTAATTAACACAGCAGTACGATCACAATAACCTTGAATAGATTCATATTTATCATTATCATTGTATGAGCTAAGTGGTGTATAATTTGTATCTACATTATAACCAGCTTGTTTCAATTGATGTACAGTCATCATTTTTGGTATACAACCACCAACATACCAACCATACCATTCGAATAAATGTGGTTCTATACGAATTGATAAATCCGACTATAAAGTGACAACAAAATTATAAGTCAATGAAAGAAGATCAAATACATAAACAAAAATGTTTATAAATATGAATTCTTCAATCTTAAAGATGATTACAAACAGTAATAAAGATCTATGAGTATATCACACAAGATATTCACAAACTGACTTATATTTCAATGGGAAATAAAAAGTTTTAAGTTTTGATTGTACTGTTTGTTATTTTGAGTTTTACATCGAATTAAAGTAATATAAACTCACACTGTAATAGTGATGTGTTGTAGTAGGAGTAAATGTGATCAGTCAATGTGTGTATAAACAAACACTCAATTTACTGACCACTAAAATATGTGGTTTTCTTACCTCTTATTGATTTCTACTTAGGACTCACTGAAAGTGACTATTTGCAATTGTTTAGAGTAAATTATTATTGCCCCCAAATGCCCTGGTACGGCCGAGAGTGGGGTGAGCCCGCCCTCCCTCCCGAAATGCTCTCAAACGGCCACGTGTATACAGTCTCTGTCAGGGAAGTCCTACTCACTGCCTTCTCGTGGCATCGCTGTTGTTTACGAAATTCAGAGGACGAAAAGCAAATGTCCGACGCTTTAACCGGATTACAAACCAATGGTGCACATGGACTCCAGTATACTACGGGAACAAATGGCGTATGAACCAATAGTTGGTTACCGGCTACCATCAGACTGCATCTCCTCACGATGCTTCATTGCCTTGTGGGTCAAACCTTTAGGTCAAAGGTTCGGGGTGTGACCCCCTAAGAAAACCACCTGCTTCGCTCTGGGCACCCGGGCAGTATCTCAGCCCTCACACAAATCGAATGATTTATGTGGCGCATATTTATCTAGTGCCTCCTTGTACCAATGTTTATGTGTTTAAATAAATAAAAATAAATAAATAGAGTAAATTATTACCTTGCGTTACTCCGGTTCTCTCTTCACGGTCGTAAATAGTATATCAGGCTTAACATGATCTAGTCTATTTATAGTTTAACGTTCGAGTATCCAATCTAGCGGCATTATAAACTTAGTTCGGTCTTATTACCATAGTACAGCGGTATACCACAGAGAGAGGAAGATATTTTAATTTATCCGCCATATAAAATAGTGTATATTATTTCACAATCACAATAATAAACTTTTTTATTTCTTTGTCTTTTTGAGCTATACATACTAACCGACCCCATATACACAGCAAAGAACACATTTATAATGTCATGATTCAAAGACAAATGTTTGAATCAATAAGTCACGATTTCATAGAATAAAAGGACAGACAGATGAATTTTCAGTAGTCCATTTATTAACAAATTTAAACAAAATGAGAATGAGAGTGTGAGAAATGCGGCTAAATCACAATACTCCTCTCAGTTTTATATGTATAATCGCAAAAATAAAAAGAATAAGTATTAACACGTACCAGGGAACTCTTGATCACTGTCTTCTTGTCGTGTGTTGTTTACGAAGTCGAGAGGATGAACAGAGAATGTCTGGTGCTTATACCGGGAAGATGGGTATAAAGGATCCACCTTGGGGAGTTCTAAAACCCTGATTCTAAATCAGTGGTGCACATGGGCTCTAAGATCCTGACGGAACATGATGGCGCATGAACCCATTATTGATCAGTGTTTACCATGGGACTAGATTTAAGGTTCCTCTGTTGTCTTGTAGATTAGACCTCTGAGTCAAAGGCTCTAAGAGTGGCTTCCTAAGAAAGCCACCTTCTTCGGTTTGGGGGCCTAGGCAGTAACCCAGACCTCACACAAATCGAATGGTTTGTGTGGCGCATAAATATTTGATGCCCCTTGTATGTTTTAGTAAATTAATAAATCAGCATAATTGAAAATTACAATATAAGATATTCTCAATAGACAACAGATAATTTATTCAAATTCAAACGTGGAGTATTTTATATATGGTGAACGAAGACTTGGGCAGGAGAAATCGATTGCATTATGCAAAATAACAGTATCGGATTCAATACTGTGTCACACCTCAGTCCTACGAAAAGTCGGCCGCGACCCAGATAGCTCAGTGGTAACGTCTCTGATTGTGAAGCTGGGTGAAACGGGATCGAATCCATCAGAGAGCATCAGTTCCCTCAAGATTATAGACACATCTTGCTAAAGTGTCAAGTAGCACGAAACTTAGGTTCAGGGATTCCTGTTGGCTACGTCCAACCACCATCTTACAACACGTTTAGTGTGTACCTGTTATTCAGCTTTGTATTTTAGAAGACCTAGTTTTGAACATACTGTGATTTCTGTTGTCTTGCGATTGATAGATAAAATGTGTTTTTGATTTATGCAATAAAAGGTGTATTGGGTGACCTTCATTTTGTTTTAATCGGGAGACTAAGGGGAGATGAATTCGTGTGGATTAATCAAAGCATACATCGTATCTGTAAACAGTGGGTATTAATATCAACGGCATGAGACTCACTGTTAGCAGGGATAAAAAGCTTTCATAATAGTGTGCACGTAGAACAAGTAATAATTCATGAATATTAAGAATCAAGTTATTATGCATTATGATTAAAAGCTATAATCGAACATAATGTGATAGCAGAAAGAGTATAAATCAGTAGTATATAACAAGTAGCACTAAGATATTCAATGACATCGAGACGAAAAATTCAACAATTTAATAGTTTACGCGAATTTAACACAAAGCACTATATTTTACAATTTTGGGGAATAAGACACAATCAAACATAACTTGACTTTGTATGATACGAGTTACTATTCACTTATGAAATGATAGGTAAAACAGGATCTATTGATGGATAAGTCAGTTAGCTAAAAAGTAAGACCAGGCACATATATGCATCGCTCCAAGTTGTCATACCTCATTAACACAACAAGATGAACACTGGATTCATAAAAGTAGTTAATTCAGTGGTGGTAATGTATAAAAGAAAGATTGAATATAGGGATATAGTACAGGAAGAAAGAATTAGTTGGTAGAAAGAAGGGTATAAAGTAATTTTGATCTCTTAGTTTAGGGGAAGACAGAGAGTGTATACATCGACGCCATCGTGATCGATTCTGAGCCATGTCACCAAGAGTCTCCAACCATTGGTTACGATAGTCACACGGATCCCAACCACGAAATCTGCATCTCCCAACATCGCTCAGACCAAAAGTTAGTGACTTCAAGCACTACTATTCTTTACAAAAAGTGATATTATTTAATCGACAAATGTAACTAAGAAGTTTAGACAAGTCTATTTAATAACAATGTAAAGTTTAAAAGGACAAACATTCTCTTGCTCTACGTGATTATACGCGCAATATATAAAACCTAATTATAATGATTCTAGCCTTTTAGTGGATTACTGTACCAAATATTTATTATATAAGAATTAAATATATAAATATATACATCAAAGCATAACGAGATAAGGCTCATATTGTAAATATACAATGAACTTAAACATTATAACAAGAAGACACCTACACGACCCATAGCTCTTAATAATTCACAAGCAGTTTGAACACATCGAAACGCTGGAGAACAATAACACGCTGTGAAATAAACTCCAGCATCTGCCAAAGCGCGACCTGTTTCAGCTGATACAAATAAACCAATTTGGGTAATCGGTGAATCTAAAATATATTCAAGACAATCCGCCCGAGTAGGTAGCCAAGGTGGGAGGTTTAAATTAAATCTACGATAAACTCCTACAAAGAAAAAAAGATGATTATTTTGAAAAGAACTCAAACAATTAAAGATATGATGAAGAAGGATGACTAAAGAAATCACTGAAGGCAATGCTATCAAAATGAGGTTACATATATTTAGCAAAGAAATTCTTCTAGGAGGGTGACATTTTGTTTAGAGCTGACACACAAAGGAAGGCCCAGGACAGAGTAGGTTAGAGAATGCTGATCAACGGCCTATGATCCATTGGGAGTAATAGGCGTAAGTAAGTACTAGAGTAAACATGATAGTAACTTAATTAAAATATAATGAAACTAATATGAAGATGAATATAGAATACCTTTATGATTGAAACATTGAGTAATCCATCCATGACCAAAACTAATATCTACACGTTCAGCATGTCGCATAACATAGATTTGTCTTGATTTATTATGAGTATGACGTTTAACTGTTGATTGATAATTATTAGTATATTTAGAATTAGCTTCATTTAATTCATCATTATTTAATGATAATTGAAATTCATTTTGACAAGTTGAATTTGCACCACTAGTGAAGTATGAATCACATCGATTATCAGATATGTGTTTGTCTGTATTATTATTATTATTATTATCGGTTGTTATGGATGTTTGTACACTTGATTTACTCTTTACAGGATCACTAGAAGAAGAAGATGATGATGATGAAAAAAAGGAAGAGGAATATTCCGATGAATTTGAAAGACATGGTGATAGGACAAGGCAAGTTGAATTTGTATTTTTTGCAATAACACTTGAATTTTGACTTGTTAACTTTTTAAATTCTTCACTATAATTTACATTATTCTAATGAGAGAAATTTAGAAAAAGAAATTATTTCACAATATGTACATAATTGTTTAAAGCTTTGAGTTATACAACACGGTTAGAGTACATGTTAAATGGTGGTAAGCCATTGACAGGAAGCCTTGATCATCAATTTTGTGTTTGCTATCACTCTTCAAAATGGTGTGTACCCAATCGACAGAGAATCGATTATCTTTACAATTTCGATAATGTAATTAGATGACGAAGATTATCAGAACTATATGATATATTAGCGCAATACTTTTCGAACAATCTGACCACACATATACTTGTTAAGAGCATTGATATATAAAAATAAAGGGTCAACTAGACTGGAAATAGAGTAAGATGAGATAAGGATAATGATAAGAGTAATAATAATAATGTGAACACAATTCGAAACCTAATCATTCTGGGTAATAAGTCAATATTACCAGGGTAGGTTTAAGGTAAGAACAAACTGTTTTTAAATACACAAAGGGAGTTTGAATTTTTTATGGCTAAGGCTTCAATAAACCTTAGTATATGCCCTTTTACACTTTTATACAGCACTACAAAAGCTGAGTTTAGATCAATCTTGTGACCTGTTTCAATTATATGATTAGCAATAAAGGATGATGGATGTTTATCCTCTGCTTTTATTGGGTCACCTGATTGTATTTGTTTCTGCAGCCATTTGGGTACATGTTCACTCACCCTAATGTTGAGATCACGATTGCTCCTCCCTGTGTATGTGTGACCACACACACATTTAAGTTGGTAAACACAGTAGGATGTGACACAATCGTTTTCATGTCTTTTAAGTTTTGAATGAAGCATGTACCTTGTTCTTTCTTTGATGATGACCTTTGCTGCGCAATAGGTTTTATTGATGACTGATTTAAGTCGTTGTTTCAGTAAAAGGCTATTTGAATCACCTCTGAACGGTAAGGTGATGTAGACAGGTTTTTTCTCTACCGAGGCTACAGTAGGTCTCGCTGAACCATGGACTTTCTATCTATTTATGATTTTCAGAGGATAGCCATTTTCTATTAACGTTTTATTTAACAAATTAACATCATCATCAATGGTGTCGTTCGTACAAATACGGTCGAGTCTGTTGAGAAGACACCTTATCAAACCACGTTTGTATTGCACAGGGCAATAACTATAATAATTAAGATATTGACCTGTCCATGTTGGTTTTATTATCCAGAGTGATTAGGTTTCGAATTGTGTTCACATTATTATTATTATTACTCTTATCATTATCTTTATCTCCTCTTACCCCGTTTCCAGTCTAGTTGACCTTTTATTTTTATATATATCACATAGTTCTGATAATCTTAGTCTTCTAATTACATTATCGAAATTTATCAAAGGGACTAATTGTTTTAAATATCTTTACAATGACGATTGGGGGGTTAGCACGAAACCCAATTACATAGCCTTCTATCTATTTCAACTAATCAAATACCCGCAAAAACATAGTAGATACAACATCGTATCGCTTACGTTAATAAAAAACGCTAAATTTAGTTGTTTGTTTATCAGCTTACGATAGAGATTTATGAAAATCCCTATGGATAAAGAACTTACACAGCAATCAAATTATTAATACTGTATAAAACAACATATTGAATAACCCAATCAAAGGTACAAAAGTACCCATTTCATGTTACCGCCAATTGTGTTTACAAATTTAAGTATACCTACAAAAACAGCTACATTGGCAGAACAGAAAGAAGATATTTTAGATTTTTCGAACATGCTCCTAAAAGCATTGGATTGGGAAGAACTATTTTAAATAGAACAATTACTAAACATATCTTGGATATAGGATATTAGGTACCTTGTGATCCTTAAACTTGATTAATAAACAGTCAATCACCTGTCTACTGAAGTTTGCTGAAGCCGTTGCTATCAAGCATCAGAAACCTGATTAACATGTTCACAAGGAAATGGTTGTTACTTTTTCATTTCCTTAGTGACAAATATTCCTTTATAACATCATAAAACTCATTCTTTCAACTAATTAATCATTAAATGTTTGTATTTCGACTGTCCTCTAGATTAATAATCTTATTTTAATTAACTGAGCTTTATTTATTATCAGCGTTTGTTCTTTACGTAACAAATTGTTTCTAACCCTTTTGACTTTTGTTACAATCAATGTTGTAGAACGTTGTTTAACACAGGGTATATATTTATAATATTCAGTCTATTAAATTTATTTACATTCTTACTATAGTATACTGATGTGTCTTCAAAGAAAATTCCAACGAAACTCTTTCATGTCAGTAATTTATAACTGTTTTGTAATTATGACTTTTAAACATCATAGGTTGTAAGTAGCTGAAGAGAACCAAACAAAATAAAATGTTCTTTTCGACGAAATCATTTAATTAAGCTGTATATTCGTATATATAGTTATATGGAAAATGTATGTCTATAGAAGGATAGAATGAATTGTATCACAAAAATGGATTCGACAATAAATAACAAATGAGGTTAACGTACTAATCAAGGGGTAAGGAAGAACAAAATTTAAGGGTCAGATAATAGTCCAATTGACAGATATGAAGAAAAACGACAAAACAACAAAGATGCATAATAATAGACTGGATAATAATCAAGAAAACTTGTAAAAGGTAATAATAATAAATGATTAGAGTTTAAAGTGCAAAATAGTAATAATAAAAGTGCATTAAAAAAAACACCTAGAAACATACCCACTTCAATGTGTATCTATAAATTTACTTGCTCATGTGGGGCATGTTACAGAGGCCGCACAAAGTGATCATTATCCAAACGCATCTCGGAACATTATCCGGCTTGGCTCTTGAAAGGGGAGCGAAAAACAATCACGAGTTCTATACAGGAGCACTTAATCAACTGTAGACATATCGCTCCAAAAGACTCTTCGTTTAAAATAGTTTACAGAGTCAAAGGAACTGGATCGAAGGGGGTTCGAATCAATATTTCATGCACCGCAGTGGCATTGGCAATCCACAACTTTGCGTGCAGAAACGATTTGTCCAACCTTTCATCCTTCCCTGGCCCTAATTCCCTTAATGGGTATGTTTCTAGGTGTTTTTTTAATGCACTTTTATTATTACTATTTTGCACTTTAAACTCTAATCATTTATTATTATTACCTTTTACAAGTTTTCTTGATTATTATCCAGTCTATTATTATGCATCTTTGTTGTTTTGTCGTTTTTCTTCATATCTGTCAATTGGACTATTATCTGACCCTTAAATTTTGTTCTTCCTTACCCCTTGATTAGTACGTTAACCTCATTTGTTATTTATTGTCGAATCCATTTTTGTGATACAATTCATTCTATCCTTCTATAGACATACATTTTCCATATAACTATATATACGAATATATAGCTTAATTAAATGATTTCGTCGAAAAGAAAAATTTCTGCGCTGAATTCTCTTTTTCTTATTCAATGACACTATGGGTTATTTTAATTATCTGAAATAAAATGTATTTATGCTTTTGTGCTCAAATGCTTGTTTTCTCTTCAAGATATAAGTAACACAATTGTGTTTAACATGACATTACTACTATGCAATTAAGATAAATCATTTAAACGCATAATAATACAATGATCAGATTTGTACTATCCTGTATAACTGTCTGGTAACAAGCGGTAATAATTTAAAATGCATAAAAACAGTGGAAAGTGCATAGATATTCATAGAAGAACTAAAAATATCCCTGAGATAGTCAGAAATTTTGAGACATTCAGTGAACTTAATTAAAATTTCTACGTGAAGATTAAATTCAAGACGTAAAAACTATAATTAACTAAAAGAAAGAACACGACAGGACATGGAAAAAAAATAAGATAGTATAAGTAATATTCTAAATAAATTGTTTACTACATAATGGATTACTTACTGTACTAGTTGGGCAATGTTGTTTGAAGCATGATTTAGCTGAAGAAGTAAAGTTTAGTGGGACGGAACTTTAAACCAAAAACATGAAAAAATTCAAATAAAGAGAGATTACGTTTGTATTATTATAATTCACATATAATGTATTGATGAAAACATGACAAATAAAGTATTAGATTTCATTTCAATAAATTTATTTTGGTTCTAACTAAGATGTAGTAACAAGGATGTAACTTATCATCAATGTAGAGTTTAAACAGATAGATGTTGACCCAAGTTACTACACCGCATCAGTACAGCGAGATAGGAATTAACAAGATGAGAGGCAAAAGATATTGAAATTATGTAATAGCAATCATAAACAGAAAGAATGAGTATTAAGAATATGTTTTGAACAGACAGAGTGGAAAGATAAGAATACTGAAATTCAAGATCGAGAAGAGTGGATTTGTTAGATAGTGAACAATTCTGATCCATATCATTCAGTCCATAACCCTTGATCATCCAGAACCTAAATCAGGTGGTGTACATTCAACAACATGACTCAGACTCAGTAATTTAATGGAATGATACCGCATCCTGGTTTGGTCACCTCTAGCTTTCTTCTAAACTATTTCTACATCAACCAACATCGGCGCTCGATTTAGGCGGTGGTTAAACATACGTAACAGATGTTCTGACAATCAAGTTCGATGAGGAGTAATTGCTTTATCAATCAACTTGCCATCTTCGCCAAGTTCCCTGCGTCTAACCTTAATATTGCTCATTCAATGGTCCCTAGATGACAGGTAATGCTTAGAACATTTGGCTGAGATGTTTCATAGGACTGATATCAATTAGCCTTTGTGGTGTTGTATAAAGGGGCCTAGAGGCTCATACTAAGATTTACTGAAAACTTAGGCATACAGAAGTTAACTCCCTCATTTACGTGTTCAGAAATATTTTTTTAATCCCTAAATGGGAATATTTAATGAGATTTTGCTTAAACTAAACCTACCCTAGTAATATTGATTTATAACCCAGTGTGTTGTAATTCACACTGTTTTCCGAACTGCTGGGCAATAAACTTGTCTTTTGGTTAGTAGACGGATATATCACCTACGCCACAAGTGACGCTAGTTATCAAGGCCAAAAGAATCTTTCGAATCTGTGCCCAGATTTCATCAAATACCAAACCATTGAGACTGATATGACTCTCGAGATGAATGAAGTACCTGACACGCTTAACTACTTCACTCCTTATCATAAATTCAAGCGATGGTCCAGGTCGATCACAAAGTAACATTTTGCACTTAGGGAAAAAGAATCGCGTCTCAAACATGCTAATCTTGTTGCTTAAGGTGGCGAGAAGGTTCCATTTTGTCAGCGTCTTCGCCAAACAGAACTATATCATTTGCGCATACTTAATCAACAAGTGAATACCCAACGTACTCTCGACGGCCCTCATATGCATAAATATCTCAGTTGTCAGAGCACTAGTCTTGCAAACCAGGGGTTGAGAGTTCGGTCTTTCTTGGGGGGAGCAGCTTTGCCCTCAAATGCCCTGGTACGCTTGAAGGTTGAGAGTCTGCTTCCCCTCACGAAGTGCTCTCATATGGCCACACGTATACAACCACTGACAGAGAAGTTCCACTCCTCGCCTTCTCATGGGAAGAGCGTTGTTCACAAGATTAGGAAGATGAGAAGCGAACGTCTAGAGCCTTGACAGGGTTGGTGAGAACAGAGGATCCACCTAGGGGACTTGTAGAACCCTGGTTCCAAACCTACGAAGCACATAGAATCCAAGTTCCTGTGGGAACAAATGGCGTATGAACACATTGTTGATCAATGGTTACCATGAGACTACATCTCCTAACGTCGCTCCATTTCCTTGTGGATTAGACGTCTGGGTCAAAGGTTTAGGGAGTGGCTTACTAAGTGAACCACCTGCCTCGATTTGAGTGCTCAGGCAGTATCCCAAACCAAACACAAATCGAATGATTACATCTAGAAAGAATTATTTTAGCTTTAATTTGAATTTTGACAAATTACGTTCAAAATTATTTGGTAACACTCATTTTTATTGTATATTGTGTCACTCGTCTATTCCCTTTTCTGATTTGTGGCGCATATCTATTTAGTGCCTCCTTATACCAATGTTTATGTGTTTAAATAAATAAATAAAGTTGAAGTATTACTGATACTGACAGACTATGTTAGTTAAACTGATCCCTAGGAAGTTGCCAGAAGAGGATTTTCGCCCTTTCTTATAAATTGGAACCAAGAAAACATTTTAATGAGGAAAAATCTTTCGAATGATAAACGATTTCAATCTGTATTCTGTTAAATGGTCACTTAACCCAATTTGGTTTACAGACAGAAATGATACATCAATTTTTATACATAACTTCAGTGGTGCTGAAATTAGTAGAAATTCTAAACTTATAATAAACATGAAATAAGACTGTTAGATAGAACTACACACAAGAATATGATATGCAAATTTAACTTACCAATGTAATGTCCAAGTTTGACTTTGTGGTATACGTCTACCAGCAGATATGTTAAACAAACCAGACTCACCAGTGCACAAATTAATTCCTACTGGACATCCTTGTCGTTCAGTAAGAGAAACTGAATCAAACAATAATATGTAGTCACCAACGTAATGTTCTAGAAAACGTTCTCGGCATCCAGGAGAATTGATTACACAAGCAGGGACTTGATTCAAAGATACATCACACTGTGACTGATTGTCATTTGAACTATCTGTCAATTTAGTATCACAAGCAATAAAAGTTGAAGATTTCTGATCACCGCTTTTATTACAATCATTAGTGATATGTGAACTGATTAGTGGGGAAAATGGATAGAATTCTACATCTGTTAACATTTCAAATACCTATCAAAAAAATAAATAAATACGGAATTTAAGGACATGTATATTTCATTTGTAGTTAAAATCTTCAAAATTATTCCATTTACAGTGGTCTTACTAAGATTCTTAGTAAATTGCATTAATAAAACAATCGCCACAGATAACTTCTAATTTAAATAGATTGTGATGATACGACGATAACGATCATTAATGATCAAATGTACTAATCATGACACAGTAGTTATCCAACTAGAGAAAATTATATCTTCCATTACAATTTTCTACACAGCTATCTTAAATCCTATTATCTATAGATTATTAAAGATCCGAAAATACTTGCTCAAGTAATATCAGAAGAACACATGTTCTAATTTTTACAATGAGAATGTTTAATATCAGACGTGCCGAACAACCATATTACAATACTATAGTATGAAAAGGAATGTCAATGGTGGTGTTATAAGGATGAATAATAAAATACAAAACTTAAACTGCTAACGCAATCGTTGCGCTGAATGAAAGGTTCGGTAGAAACACAACTTCGAGACCAACGATCTGGATTCAGTAAGGAACGGTCGTGTACACGACAAAACGCGACACTACGGATTATTGTTGAACAACCAATCAAATGGAACTCGTTACTATGCATCAACTTCCTTGGTTATGAATCCCGGAGAGAGAAGGAAAACAGGAAGACCAGAAAACACATTACGTTGGGAAAGGGAGGCAGACATCAAAAGAGTGGCAGTTGGAAACAACTGGGATGGAGAGCCCAAGATAGAGTTGGTTGGATAGTCCTGATCAGTTGACTAGGCTCTCACGAGGGATAACAGGAATAAGTAAGTAACTGGGCTACAGATGCACGACTTTAATAACGTAAGATGAAGCACTTGAGAAATCGTTATAATAACAAGCTACTCAAATATAACAAGCTAGCAAACAATCAAGTTATTTTGAGACCTATAGGTAATAGGGATTATTTAGAAATCTTCATAAATTTAACAAATGTTGTTTAGGACTCTTTGAAAGCTTAGAATTAATATAGAAGTTAAATTACTTCCATTATACAGGCGTAATCCATATTTTGCAAATTAAGTATTTCACTGCTACGATGGAACGAAAATTGGCGTAAATTATTAAATATAAGAACCGGTTTTCGAAATCTTAGAATTGAAATGGTTTAAATGGATGTTAGTCATGTCCATGAGAAACACGAGACGAAGTGCTTTAACTAGCTAGCGTTCGCCTAGGTAAGGGAGCCAGATATAATCCCTACCGACTGCTTTCCATTACTCTAGTTTGATTTTTTCTTTCTGGTTAAAGCACTCAGCTTTTAACCAACAGTTCGTTTTTCGCACACTACTTACCTTCTGTTTTGGCAACCAGGACAAGATCACTAATTTTCAAAGACAGATACATAAACCCGTACTTGGTAAGTAAATTAGATTGGGATTAGTACTACTATTCTACCACTATTATCTATAAAGTAAGAAGCTAATTTAATAAACCCTTAAATCTTATATTTCAAAGATATCTGACACTTGGATGGTCATGGAATAGCATAATAGGTTTCGTATCTGAACGATGTTCCGTCGATTCAAGAGCGTATGAATACTTGTACATAAATGACTATACCCACATCTCTAGACATATTAAACCGGTTAAGGTTATACAGATAAGATAGTACTACCAGATAATGATACTAGAAAGATTGGCGTTCATGACATTTTGGATTGAGATATCTGGGATGCATTTATGAACTTTCAAATCTAAAAGGTCGTATGGAAACTGATCTGCATTGGCACATATTGTAGCGATGGAAAGCCAGTGAGGATACTTAACATTTTATTTGAGTGAAAATCGGCATCAGTCGATGGTTGTAATTCAAGCCACTAATCAATTACCAGTTTGTGTACTCTATTATTAATAAATAACAGGCAAACGTCACAATGTATCTTCACTTATATCAATGTATGTGGAAAATTCTGGACACAAATTTGATTGTAAAAATGTTGAAATCCTGGACAGAGGGAATAGAGAGAAGTCCTAGAAACGTTAAGGAATTTGACACTCAGCTCAATTACTAAACACATCAAAATAAAATCAATTTATCAATAGATTAGAGAAATCATGGACAACTATGGGATTGAAAATCAAGCCAGAGAGAAAAAATAAAAATAGATATACAGGCGATAGGTTAAAGATCAGCAATAACTAACTACATGAAGGTCAACAGAACAAGTTGTTAGTCATATGTAGAAAGATTCAAATACCTGACTTTTACCCGAAGTTTGTCTTAATGACGTTGTTCAGAATGAGAACGAAAGTTCCACGATCACATCATCCAACTCAGAGAACAAAATTCCACCAAAATCATCTACATGAGCTACAAATCTTCCTTATCATCTCAAAATATTTATATAATGACGAATTATTTTAGCATAAATACATAATATTCGTTTTAGATACAACACACAAACCGAACGGTTGATAACCTAGAATTTATATGCGCGAACATTTAACTATTTGTGATGTGACAACATACGTGCTCTTTTGAAACCATTGTATTAGAAATAAAATCTAGCTAATATAATAAGCTAGTCGTAATTCTGTGTACTTAGGAAAAGACATGCATTATATTAGAATTCGAAATAACTATCTTTAGACTACTAATTCGTCGAAAGAACTAGCTATTCAGTAGATTGTTAGAAATCTAAAAAGCCTTAATTACAATAGAAAATTGTGGTAACTAGATAGGAAGCTATGTTTAGTAATATCACCTCTGAATGCGGTACTGGGTGGTATAGATTAGAACCGCAAAACGTCTTGTTAATATGTAGAAACCAGCACGAAAGCCAAGTCTAGTACTAGAAGGATTTTACCCAATAGTCTCCAACTAATTAACATGAAACAAAGCGCGACGTGAAGTTTAATTTCTTCATCTAGTAATCCCACTGCACCTACGATGACGGGATTTCCTCAGAGCTGAAAACTGAATTGAATAACTTTGATAATAATTCAAGGACCAACCAGTGTTAACACTACCATTGCATTATATATATATATATATATATATATATATATATCATGAATAATGAATAGGGCTGAGAAAACACATACCACTGAAGTTGGGTCATCGTAAACCTTCAATAGTATAAGCAACTGACCGACAGTATTGTTAGATAGGGGTTCTTCGAGAACTTACTTCCAATTACCACTTCATATTTACTTAACTTTTGACTCAGCTGACTTTATAACACCCTAATCCATGAAATTATTTATTTTACGTAGACAGCTGGTAAACGTAAAACATGGATGAGACCGTAGGTGGGATCATTCAGCTAAGTGACTGGGGACTAACGCATTACCTTAACCAAGTCACGTTCGCATAAGAAAGCTTACCGAAAATCTATAAATTATACTAAGATTAGAAATACTAAAATTACAGGGTTTTGACACATACTGGTAAGTAAGAGAGGATATTTGGGGAGAGTGAAACTTTTAAAACCATTCCACGAAGAAATAAAATGCAAATTTTTAACGTATAATTATTAAACATTTGGGTTGTATTATTTTCTTATCTCAATTACTAACTATCGTTACATGTTTTGCCGTTCCGAAATTGTCGTTAAATAATTATACATTTATTACTCTATTTTAGTGATGACCTAATTGTGCGCACATTGGGATTCCTATTTTATGTTTCGGTAAAATCAGTTATTTAATGCATGTTGCAATGTCCTGAGTTATGATGAATAGATTAGAATAAAGAGTACTTTATCTGACGATCTTGGCATTTTAACTGATCGTTAAAAGTGGAGAATTTCGGTGGGCTGATAAGAACAGAGATTTTGTCGAACGTTAACTAGTCAATTGTCGTCAGTCAAATCATGTCATTGGTCTGATAGGTGTAAAGCGTACATGGGTTTACTGGACTTTATCCTCTGATTCGATTGGAAATCAATAATGGACTGAAGATCATAATACTTCTATGATAAGTCGCTCATTTAAAAAAGACCTGTTTTCTAGCAGACACCAATTTGATAGAAACTATTTTCAAATTGAATTTATGAGATGGTGAAGATTTGAATCTCAGGTGGATGATTTTGGTGTTGTTTTCTAAGCTTGACGGTTTGGTTGTGGAGCTTTCATCGTTATTCTAAACGACATCATCAGCAAAAACTTCAGGTAGAAGTAAAGTTTCTATAATGATGTCGCCCAGAATAACGATGAAAGCTCCAAGACCGAACCATCCAGCTCAGAGAACAAAACTCCACAAACATTGAACTTATTTCCACAAGTCCTTTGTACCTTAATGACAACAACCAAAGTCAATAATTAAGTACAGATACATTAAATGGACTGTGAACTGTGAGTGATATGTTGGCATACAACAGATTATCGAGCTTTTTACATTACAGTAGGTAAACCTGTGTAAAAATTTGGAAATTTTGGATTTAGAGTCACCTATTTAAAATATAAGGTCATTGCTCAAATAGTTGTACGCAGGTATACACATATAACGATGGGATAATTAGTGCATTTGAGTAGCAAAAAAAGTATATATTGACGCCTTAGAAGAGATGTCACTGTAACACTTACTTAAGATACAAATTTAGTATTATGAAAGATAGCACGTCTAGCTTGAAAACAAGTATGTGAATGTTGATAAATACAATGGCTAATCAGAAAATCAAGTCCCATGATTCTATCAAAACTGGCAAAAATCATTAGCACATTGATTGAAAAACTAGATCACCAGAGGGCAATAGTGCATACATCAAAAGCTGTATTTCCGTAGTTTATTTCATAAAAACTCTACCAACTAAGAATCAAGATAACTTATTCTAAATATCACTTGTATGTGTTCGGGTAAGTCCTGCCTTGGTCTGAGAGTCCGGGTAGTATCTCCTCCCTTACACAAATCGAATGATTTGTGTGTCGCATATCTGTTTGACACCTCTTTGCACCAATGTTTGTTTAAATAAGTAAATAGTTCGGGTAGGTAGGATCGTGAAAATTATGCTATTTAGATAAATAATGTGATCATGTTGAACTTAATTCAGAAACTCATCTTAAATAACTGAATAACTAAGCTTCCGTTTGCAGTTCGTTAAGTCTATGAAAGTTTGAACAAACAAAAGATAATCCCCAATTAGTGCCCATAGTGTACAGAAAAAGTCTACATTTGGAGTGGCAATCACAATTCCAGTAAACTGATAGCTTTAGTGTTTATGATATCACATTAATAAAACACAATTTACAACAAACTAAATTTGGAGCCATATTTAGCGACCTAATCACTTATCAATCGTAACATGGAGTCATGGTTTTGATCAGAAACAAATAAATGTATTCCAAAATACTATACTGCCGATTAATCGACTCTTTCATCTGAATATTTCTAATCAGGCTGTTGATATATTTCATTGCGGACAAGAAGAATGACCACCCAAAGAAATATATTGCTGGTAAAGAAATTTGGTAATAAACCCAGTAGTGCGAAGCTCTCAATTTTTATGTATGTGTATAAAAAAGACAGAAACAATGAACGTACCTCATAACTTGGATCCCGCAGACGAGGATCATGTGAGTATAAACAGAATTTTAACTGATTATTAACCGATTGGTCGAATTCGTTAATAATGTAATGATTAGATAAATGCATTTCAATTAGTTGAATCAAAATTGAATTTTTCTCAGCATTATTAATACCACTGACTAATGTGAAAGGATAATTTAATTTGCCTGGATTAGAAACCACGCAGACGTTTACGTCAGCTAGAAAAGATGGGATAGAATTGGAAGGAACCAAACACTTAGCGTCACGAAAGTAAACAAAATTTACTGGGTCATTTTCCTACTGATATTACGAAGTACCCTAGGTCGATAAGTATAGTTAATGTCATATGAAACAAAGATCATTTTAAGAAAGCATAACGAAACGCAAAATTACGAAAGTGCACCACTTGAACCAACCAAAACCCTATTAAATGTTAACTATAGTTAGCGAAACGGCTGCACTCAATTCTACTTTGTAACTAAAGCATGACTACTGAATTTGAATGTATCTGGCTTACGAATGACTGATTACTAGTCATATTGTAGCGTCGTTCATATGTTAGCAATGCTAAGGTAAACAGTATCCAACACGATTATGTAGTTATGAAGCTTGTTAGCAAAATTTAGGCGGTATCCTTTAAACTCCACTATTTATTTCGGTACTACAAGCATAGCTAATATCTTTATCTGACGATTAAACTTACTTATCGTGACGACCCGACTGCGCTACATTGGATGAAACACTTGTTCTTTACAGTAATATTATTTTAAATCGATCTGGTGTTTTTGGTGCCCTTTCATTCTGAACTTTTACATTAAAAATAAAGGAAATTTGGTTGGAGAGATGAGGGGCCAAAAGCAAAAACATAATAGCCAGAGGAAGAAATTGTGCTGGTCGCTTTACTAAGGTTAATCTCATGGTTAAGTTGAACCTCCAGTAATGTTGTCCAACTAAAAACAAGTCAGAACTCGACCACAGAAATAACATTATTGCTCACTTGTTTCTAAACCGACAGGTCTGAAAAACAGAGCTAACGTAAGGAGGACTACTCAAAAAAACGTTTTTATGAGTGTTATTCCTTATTGCCTGAAGTTCAGGTGCAACATGCATACTGAGAAATGTTCAAACCCTGTGTTGAGTCGGTAAAAAAGTTTCATCAGCTAAAAATACTACTTCTACTGAAGGACATTCCCTGGTTCCAGTTCAAGTACTACTCACTGGATATTACTGCAGGTAAAATACCCCTTTGGGTCACCTTAAGAACAGGAATTTCATGGACATAGTTCTACAGGAAGAAGTTTATCACGACACAGCAAGGCATGTTCACCGAACAGCCACGAAATCGGTAACACAATGGCGATTCTAATCGAAAGGTTAATGGATTTCGCTGGATTTTGGAAGCTTCTGTTGGATGTACAGTTGCTTAGAAGCTCTTTTTGATAGCCCCAGCAAATTAATGAACCAAAATATCAAGGGTTCTAAATGCTATAAAGGATCACTAGTATGAAGAAATACTCAGACATCCTTTGCCTTCTTACCTTTTTTCAAGTTTTCAAGAAAGGTTTCTGAAAGCTTTTGAAGTAGAGTATATATCTTGGAGTCGGAAAATTTGCATACAACAGAGGTGTCCGTGTTCACTAAGAACTCCAGGGGCTTTTCATCAGTCACTAGAAGAGGGATCGACAGACCGAACGATTTCACGAAAACGGATTTCAAATAAAGTGCATCATGGGGTTTGACCTGAAGATCACTATTCAATCTAGTATACTTACTCTCAGATGAAGCAAAGGGATTTGTGCCCGATGATCACAAACATAGTCCCATCCCAAAGCGACTCGCGCAGCTGACAAAAAGGACGAGACGTCCGATTCAAAGTTTCCTCCCAGACTCAGAAGTACATGAAAGTCGACTTCAAAATCTTTGACGAAAAGTGGATCATTTAGGCGGGATGATATCCTGAAACAATTACAAGACTTAAATTACCATTCAGCTGCCAGACGAACTGAACGAAAGCCAGTTAGAACAGCAGCATAGAGTCTGGGGTGTTAAATATGAGAAATTTGAAAACGTACGCGTATTTCGAAGGAAAGTCTGAGTTTTTTAATTCATCAATAATTTTCTGACCTCTATTAATAACCGATAAGTCTAAATGGCCGGGAGGTGAATCGCGAATTCCATCAGCCATCCGATGTAAAGTTAGGTCTTTGGCAGATTCGTGTTTACCGTGGTTGTATGTTATGCACTGGAAGAGTGAACAGTAGCGTGAGAGAATCCGGAAGACGAAAGCACAGTGAGTTTTAAGTGAGCAGACAACTGAGCAGGCACAAAGTAGACTTACGCTTGTTACTGAAAAGGATTGACAACTATTAGTAATAACACAGCAGCTGTATGAAAACAGTCAGATAACTGAGAGCACAATGCCGTGAATCAAGACCAACAACAACGAAACCTTGCGCCATGAGCGACCTACAAAGGGTCACTTCAAATAGTTCAAATGGTGAGGTTTGCGTAAGTTAGCGTAAAGATTTAGATCTTAGGGTGCAAACACTCATGGATCTTTCTCAACAAGAGATATTCTTGTAGGAGGTCACCTCAGTTGTAGTTGAAGTCTGCGACATGTGTACGACATGTCTCAGATGGGTTACTTTAAACTTTGAAGTGTTAAAGGTAAGTTCGTTGTTATCTGCCCAACTTTGAAGTCGAATCAGACCCCCCTGAAGGAAACGTCCGTCCTCTTAGTTGCACAATAATCCCCAGAGTTCCAAAACATCAGAGAAAATTAATAAATCCTACAATAACTCCTGTGGAAGATCGTTTATATAAATCATGATAAGAAGAGGTCCTAGTACTGAACCCTGACGGACCCCACTACGACATTCCATAGCTTGAGGTAAATTGAAAATAAGCCTGATCTTAAAATGTTGACTTCTTAGATATGAAGTGATCCACTCTACTAAATGAGATTTGGTACCTAATCGTTTGAGCTTATTGGTAAGACATATATGGTTGGCCCCACCAAAAGCTTTCAGGAGTTAAGGTAAATGACGTCAACCCAGCCCCTTGCAACCAAAGATGATTGCCCAACTGTCCACTGCAGCCGGCAGGTTAGTTATACAAGGGTGGCCTTTTCTAAAATCGTGCTGTCGAGGTGAAAAGAAGTTTATGGATATTAAGTAGTCGTGTACACCGTCATATATCATGGACTCTGAAATTTTCGGGGGTATAGAGAGAAGTGCCACTGGTCCATAACTTGAAGTTTTGCTGTGTCAACTTCTTTTGAAAATTGGTGTGATGTGAGCCAGCCTTGAAACTAGTGAATTTGAGAACATCACTCCAAGCAGTGTTGCCAACATTGAAGCTACTTCCCTCAGAGTAGCAGAATGGACCATATCTCGGCCAGGAAAAGGGTCTTTCTTAAGTGCCGCAGTTTCCGGTACAGCAAGTCAGCACTCAGGTTCACTACTGTGATTCCTGTGAGGTCTCAGGTGAAGGTCTCATCAATAACGTTGGTGCGGGTCTGTTAAATTTTCGGAGAGTACTGTTCTGCCAGAGGGTTAGCGACGTCACCTCTGTCGTTGGTCGGGCCATTAGGACCTAGCAGTTGGAAACTCTAGTTTTGTTTTGTCGAGAAGAGACTTCATGATGGGATTATCTTTACGGATTGGAGACAAACTTATCCATAAGCCTATTCTAGTACTGAAACCTGTCTTCTTCTATCGCCTTTGTGCATATATTACGTACTATTTTAATTGTCTGTATGCGTTGTTGTTACCAGTTCGTTTGTATTCCTACCAGTAATGCCTTTTGGGGCAGTGCGATTCCAGATGACTGTGGGGTGCTTGTTTATATTGGAGACCGTTAGCGGAACAGTTGGCTTTAAGAAATCTCAATGAGTATCCACGTAAAGTTGAGGGTGAACCTCCCAGTCCACCTGTTGTAGATCGTCCTGTGAAGCTAACACATTCAACCATTTGAAATTCCAGCGCCTGTTGTCTGTAGGATGTCTTAGATTGGTTTTGCTAATAAAACTTAGGGCTATGACGGAGTGGTCGTTTTTCTCTTAGGGGAGCAAATATAAGGAGGTTGTCAACTAGAAATTCTTCGTTTGTAAATACACATTCTGACTGTTTCTCCAACGAGTTATCGACGTCAAATTTTGGAATAATCCTAGATCCTCAATGAGGTTGAAAATCCGAGCTTCAGTAGAATTTTCACCTCCAATACACGTATGTTCCATGAAATTAACCTTGAGAAGATTGATATACCCTAGAATCGTGATATGAGTGAATCCGAGACGAGTAGAGCAGGGTAGTCCTTAAAACATACGATTGTCGTATTCGATGTCAGCAGTGGGCACTCTGTATATTACTACAACTGGACACCTAGTGGTGGGAGACAATCTTACCGGGCACTCTCGGTTGTACACTTGATGTACCTCCAATCAAGACCGCAAGTATAGGGATACTCCGCCCCCTCATTGCTGTTTTTCTGTCGTTTGGAAGCAAAGAAATCCCGAGTATTGCTAGCTCTTGGTCCGCAAATTTAGAAGATATCCATGTTTCAGAAATTACTATCAGATGAGTGTCTTAGCATTACTGAGTTCACGAAGCTCATCCTTTTTATTCGATAAACTTGCGGCGCTCATATGCAAGCAGTTCATGCTTTCAGTTTGGAACGCGTGAACTTCTCTTTCGTTTTTATCTGTATGAGCTTTATATGTATAGACAGGTAACCTACCTACACAGGGTTTTCCAAGTTGGTAGCCCCTGTTTTTTCTAAGTTTGTTTTCGTGGTCTTGACAGTACACAAGTGTAATAGTCAACTCCAACTTGCCTTTATGCTTGATCCTGGCATCATGTGGCCTATCCGATTGCATATGGATTCCACTTGTTAACTGGTGTCTGTTGGCACGAAATGCTTCGAGATTTACAGCCACCATGTAGGAGGATGGGAAGTTTATATTCATCAACCGGGGTCAAAAATCCCTGCCATTCATTGCTAGTCTCCCCATTATTTTAGTCAATATGTTTTTGAGCCTCAAGGACTGCTTGATGTATCTCCGTCCCCGAATACCAGAGTTTTTGTGATCACCGTTCGTGTTTTCCGGTACACCTTGCACAATGATATTTCTTCCATGAAAAATCGTCTCGCGAGGTTCCTTAGGATGTTCCTAATGAGATTAAGCTCGGAATAAGGTATATCAGGTGGTATGCTTAGATTTTCATCTGATTTCAGTGAGTGACTAGCCAACAGGACATCGAGTACCTCGGCAGCGTTAAAGAGCGTCACACGAAGTCTTTGGTGATTTCGATGGTTACGGTCCTTTCCCCGAGTGAGCCATGTGACCTTCAGAGGCTCTATTTTGCGAAAATCGGGCTCCCTGTCTAACTCTTAGCATAACATCCTGTTATTTTTGTCCCGCAGACTGAGGGTAAATTCAGAGATTTCTTTAAGGTTCATGATTATGAGAGAATGATTATGATCCGTTATCGTTTTACCACGTCTTCAGACAATTTTAGAAGTCTCAGGCCCTTTAGCCCAAGCACAATTGACCCTTACTCACTAACCAGGAAAAGACTATACATGTAACTATTCTCTTCGTTGCTCAATGGGATGATAAATTTATCAATAATTGGTAACTTGCGGTCCATAACGACGGTAATCGCACTGTTTTTAGGTTTTAAATGGACATCATTGCAGAGAAACAAGTGGTTTAACATGGAAATAATTGACTACATGCTACCAGTATCAACGGTAAATAAATGTGAATTGCCTGTTTTCAATTAATTTTCGTACTAAATGTGAAGTACTGCTGCAGGCGGTAGTGAGCTACGATGAATCCACTCAACTGTCCAAATTTTCTGGTCTTGATCCAACATTATTTAGTGCTTTAGTGCTAAACTACTCGGATTTTTTGACAGACGTCTCGTATATGTCTAACTTTTAACACCTACAACGTAACGAAATTGACATGAACTAAGAACTTGGAGCATACCACATGAAAGATAGAATTTATTACCCAAATACGAAAGAACTGCTCTTCAAGGAATTTGCTCGTCCTAATTAATTGGAATTTTTATTGTCAGAAGTCTTATGTTTCTGCACTGAGGAAGATTTATTTACACTCAATAATAAAAAATCGCGTTATTTCTTAACAGCTTCAAAATGGTCATCTTCATTAGTAAAACAAAATTTTTTCAGCTATGCGAAAAGTGCAGGAATGATTCATTTCAGCCTTTCCTCTAGTTAAGGGTTGCTTATACCAGTAATCAGACGGTCATAAGGTTAGATATGCAGCTGTTCGCTGAAACTGCACTTGATAGTTTGTATATGAGGCTGAAGTATGAGGTCTCTATCAGTCTGGTTCAGGGCACGAACTAATTTATTGAATTGTGCTTTTTCAGTTGTTGCGAATGTGTTTACGTGAAAATGATCTGTAAGTGATATCTTTAGTTTGCTGAACAGGTTTTTCGGGGCGTAAATCTTTTAAAATAAACTATAGGCTTTTCTATCAATAGCATTAATAGAATGACTTAAAATACTATATCTCCTAAAGTTATGTGAAAACCATTGGGCATCGAAATGTTCTAACTAATCTTCTATTTCTGACATATAGTGTTGATGCTCGATTTCCCCGACTTTCCTTAGTCCATTAGTAACACCACGACAGATGTTTACTCAACATAATATAAAGAAATAATGCTGATGGCAATAAGTCTAAAACTTTAACGTCAGAAGCATGAAGTCACATTCGAGATATGTAGTTTAAAATTGTATTATATTGTTGTGAAAAGTTTCAACTGAACATAAATTGTACAGTACATACATGGGTTATTCACCGAAGTTAGTTTTGCACCATGAGTGCAACGACCGAAATGCCAATACTCGGTTTGAACCTAGAATAAAGGAACAAAAGTGTACTCGATTAGACCAAAGTACGTTCTTATGTATATCGTACAAAGCTATTTGAGTGACTCGTACTTATTTATATCAGAGCACACACTGTGTTCATTTCAAACCGTTCTATTTTATTGAAGTGAATAAATTACATCAAAAGTACAAAATACTTCAGATAGTACAGTCTGTATCATACAATCGATGGTTTCTGTAACACAAACTAATGCGTTAATAAGCAAGAGTTCGATACCTGAGAATCGATAAAAGTATTTCCAACAGGATGGGGTCAGGCGTACATCTTCTAAGACTCCGGCAACCTTTCTAGGCAGCCAGTCAAAAGCTAACAATAATATACTGGACCACACCGTGAACTTGAGGTTGGTCAATTACAGCCTTATTAGCAATGGTCCGGCTTCATGTAACAGCAAAATTAAGTGACAAAAGGTAAGTCTTTAACCAAAACCACGTAATAAAAGCTCAGAAGGGGAAGACAGAAGAGCATAAAGTGAAGTTAAGAGAGACCTGAAGAAAGATTTAAATACAAAACAATAACGTCCAGTGACGTACTGTGGAGAGATTTTCAACGTTTC